CGCGCGTGGTGGCCGTGAGCCGTACACAGGCCGACCTGGACAGTCTAGTTGGCGAGGTAGGGCTGCGGCAGTTGCGACGCTCTGTGCCCCTTCCTCCTCTCGCGGAGGTTGCGCTGGCGGGGGCCCCCACCACCCTTTCCCCGTCAGCGCCGCTAACCTGGTCGACCCTGGGCTAGAGGGAGGCTGAAGCGTCTGCTGAGCAGGCCTGAGGCCGGAACGCGGGGGCCGGAAGGAAGTGAACTTGGGAGGCGGTTCCGCCTCTCCCCAGTGCAGCCCAGGATCTGCTCACAGGCGCCCCCTAGACCTCTGACCCCGCCAACTGGAAGCCCCTCCCAGCCCCAACTCTTTTCGGCTTGGGCCCCTCCCTCAGGTGGCAGAGGTCGGCTGTGCCCTCACTTGGGTATGGAGCCTCTGGTAGCTGTGCCTTGCCCCAATATAGTGTCCCGGGGTAGAGGCTGTGTGCCTGGACCTGCACGACTGGGAAGCCACAGAGCGAGCACTGAGCCGCGTGGGCCCCGTGGACCTGTTGGTGAACAATGCCGCCGTGGCACTGCTGCAGCCTTTCCTGGAGGTGACCAAGGAAGCGTGTGACATGTGAGCTGGGGAAGCAAGGGAAGCCTGGGAGAGGGGCTGTTTCCTCCAGCCCCTTGCCCGACTATGGTCTGTCCATCCACCACTTAGGTCTTTCGATGTGAACCTGCGGGCTGTCATCCAGGTGTCCCAGGTGAGCAGCCCTGTGGGCACGCGTCTGGACTGAAGCCTGTCAGGTCTGCTGATTTTCCTTTGTGATTTTAGATTGTGGCCAGGGGCATGATAGCCCGGGGAGTGCCAGGGGCCATTGTGAACGTCTCCAGCCAGTCCTCCCAGCGCGCACTCGCCAACCACAGTGTCTACTGTGAGTGGCTTTGCTGTATTCTGACCCCCTTCCGCCCCAACCCCAGCTGGCTTGGGCTCCTTAATGTTCCTCCTCACAGGCTCCACCAAGGGTGCCCTGGACATGCTGACCAAGGTGATGGCTCTGGAACTCGGGCCCCACAAGGTGAGCGGGCTGGGGTGATCCCCACCACTCATTTGTCCGGGGTGCCCTGACCACCTTGCTGAGCCCTGCCCATCTCTGCAGATCCGTGTGAATGCAGTAAACCCCACAGTTGTGATGACGCCCATGGGCAAGTCCAACTGGAGTGACCCCCACAAGGCCAGGGTCGTTCTGGACCGCATCCCACTTGGCAGGTTTGCTGGTAAGTCAGCGGCCCCTGTGCCTGCTTGGGTGCAGGGCTCAGAAGGAAGGAGGAGGGTGGCCTCTTCTGGGTCCTTAACACCGCCCTCCTTCCCCACAGAGGTGGAGAATGTGGTGGATGCCATCCTCTTCCTGCTGAGTGACAGAAGTGGCATGACTACAGGGTCCACTCTGCCAGTGGATGGTGGTTTCCTGGCCACCTGAGCAGCCTCCAGCCACACACAATTCCGCCCCAAGCTGAGCCCACCGGCACTCTTACCCCTCAATAAACTTGACTTTTCTGCCCAGGCTTTGTGCTGATTTCCAGGCGGGCAGAAATCCGTTAGACCCTCAGTCTAGGTGGACTGTATTCTGGCTCACATACCCAAGACTCAGGCCGGACCAGCCTGCTGGGAGAGAAAACTTCCAGAAGGCTGGTTTCTAAAGGGTAGTGAATCTGCCCCAGAATGGCCACTGGCCCTGCCCATAGCCTTGTGAGCGGAGCCATGGAGACCTTGTAAGTGTTGAACAGCCAGGTGTGACTGGCAGGGGAATGATGGCTAGTTTTCCTTGCAGTTCAGGGGTAAGGTGCATGAAACGGGATGATGTGTCAAACTTTCCTCACCTGCCAATGTCTGAGCAGCTTCTTTGTTGAAATGGACAATTGTTTTCTAATACTGGAAGAACACTTCCCAAACTTTTCATTATTTACAAAGGAACGAGGGCAGGTGTGGCTCACCTCTGTTGTTTCTACCCTTGCTGTCACCTCAAGTCTAGGAGTTGATGATTAATCAAGCTGTGATCTGTGGAGTTTGCCCACTTCTGAGGTGGAAATGTGCACCCTGGCTGATTTTAAGCTTATGTCATTGGATCTGTTGAGGTGTGTGCAATACCTGGCTAGAGGACAGAAGCACAGATGACAACCTATGTAAAAATAATTAGAGTCTTGTATTTTGTTGTATCAAAATTTTTGTATTTCTAGGCCGGGCGTGATGGTGCACGCCTGTGATCCCAGCACTTGGGAGGCTGAGGCAGGAGGGTCGAGAGTTCAAGACCAGCCTGGATTACATAGTGAGTTCCAGGTCAGTCTCAACTACATAGTGAGACCCTGTTTCAAAAAAAAAAATTTGTGTGTGTGTGTTTCTTAAGACATGGTCTTACTATGTAGTTTGGGTCAAACTCAAACTCGAACTCACTGTGTAGCTCAGGCTGGTCCAGAACACATGGTGATCCTCCTGCCTCAGCCTCTCTAGTGCTGGAATTACTGGTGTGCACTATGTCTAGCTGTGACTTTGATTTTAATACAACTAATTTTATGTTATTTATTAATGGCTATTTAATAATCTGCTAGCAAAACTTATGACCAGTTCTACCACAGGAAGGAGCTGGGTGTTGAACCTGTAGGAATCTGATATGAAGTCCAAGGCCCTAGACTGTGGCTTTGGGCTCTCCCAGACTATCTCACCTCTTCTCACTTTAGCAAAACCAGCTGTTACTCACAGTCTCCATGCCTCAGTCTGCCCTACCCCTCTGCCTGATGCCTTTAATACTGGCCAAAGGAGGGGAGGGCCAGGGATTTAGCTCAGTGGTTCTGGTGCCTGCCTCACAAGCGCAAGGGCCCGAGTTCGATTCCTGGTACAAAAAAAATTTAAAAATAAAAAATACCAGCCAAAGGAGGCTATGTGTGGTGATGCATGCCTGTAATCCTAGCACTGAGGAGGCTGAAACAGGACTGCCATGAGTTCAATGGCAGCCTGAACCACACAGATGGACCCTGTCTCAAAAAAGAAAAAAACATGAAGTTGTGGGGGCTGTGGCAAGCTGCTGGGGGTCCCCTAGGGCTCCAGCTGACCACTCTTTCAGCACATTTGGAAGCTGCTGGACAGCCCAGCCTACCACACCACAGCATGTGTTTCCCACCCTGCCAGACCCCAGGCCAGCACCACGCCTGCCTGCCAGCACCTCAAGGCACCAAAGGAATCTGGCCCTTCTTTAATCTGGTCTCTTTGGTAGTGGCAGCCTCTCCTCTTACCTGAGGGCGGGGGACCAAGCTTGAGCTGTCCTCCAGGTATAGTATTTTTCTTTTTTCTAGTACTGGTGATTGAGCTCAGGACCTTGTGCTTGTGAAGCAGGCCCAGTGACACTGAGCTGACGCCCTGGCCGAGCCCTCCTCCAGAAACTTGTACTCCAAGGTGCTGCTGGGGAAGCCACCGCCTCCTGCACCTGCTATGAGGGATGGTGAGGGGAACCTCCAAACCCAGGCGGAGGGTAGTGAGAAACAGGAGACACCGGTGAAGAATGTTTACTGTATAAAATAAAACGGGGCTGCCCCTTCCCGGGACCTGATGAACAGAACCCCCCCACCCTCCCAACAGGGAAGCCCATCCTGGGGCTGCCCTGGACCTGTCCCTGCAGCTCTGAGGGAGACCCTGCTCCCTCCTGGCCTCCCATGGGTGCCCGGGAAGGCTGAAGCTGCACCCCTGAAAGAGGAGGCAGAGGGGACAGGACCCCATCACCCCAGCCTTGTCCCCATGCGTCCCCCTCCCCCGCCACTCCCCACAGCAGACTCGGACACCAGACAGCTCAACACGACAGCACGTTTGGACCAGGGGCTGCTCCCGGACGCCGACCTGGCCCAGGGCCGGGGCTCTAGAAGACCGTGCACTTCTTGCCTGGCTTTTTCACAGGAGGTGGGCAGAGCACTGCCCGGATGGCCTCGTCAAACACTGTCTTCAGGCCCCGCTGGGTCAGGGCCGAGCACTCCAGGTACTTGACAGAGCCTGGCACGGCACAGGAGGGACAGGGACGGTGAGGGGGACAGGAGAGCTGGGGAGGTGGGGTGGAGGGGGGGCAGCAGAGGCAGGGGAAGCCCCGCACCCTCCTCTTCCACCTGCTGGGCGGCTCACCAATCTCTCGGGCCATGGCCAGCCCCTGTGGGTAGGTGATGGGTGCCAGCTTCTTGTCCCGCAGCCGCTCAATGGTGTCCTTGTCATCGCGGAGGTCGAGCTTGGTGCCCACTAACAGGATGGGTGTGTGGGGGCAGTGGTGCCGCACCTCTGGGTACCACTGTGGGGACAAAGGCTCTAACCCTGAAGGCATCATGGCCCTCCATGCCTAGGGGAAGCTCTCTCAGCCAAGCCCAGAGCAAGCCACAGCTCTACTTGGTTCTTTCTGTCTCTTGGAGTGGCCAGGGAAGGCCTGGTGACACAAAACTGCCCAGCCAGGAAGCCCTACCCTGGGACTATCACCACCGAGCAAGACACCCCTCCATCCCATCACTACTCAACACCGCTGCCCCAGGGCCACCCTCAGGGCCCACCACAAGGGGAACAGCGTGTCGTTCACCTCTGAAGGACAAGCTGTCTGAGGGCTTCAGGCAAGAGACCCCTTTTCCCTGAGGGCAGGTCCTGAGACAAACCCTCTCCCAGGCAGACCCCTCCAGCTCTGCCCTACCTTGGCACGAACATTCTCGAAGGAAGCTGGGCTCACCAAGGAGAAGCAGATCAAAAAGACATCCTTGGGAGAAAAGGACAGACAGGAGCGATGAGGAGGAGTCCAAACTCCATCTCCTGGAGTCCATCTCCTGGGGGTGGCCCCGTTGTCACCTACAGTTTGAGGATAGGAGAGTGGCCGCAGCCGGTCATAGTCCTCCTGCCCAGCAGTGTCCCACAGCCCCAAGTTGACCGGCTTCCCGTCCACCATCACATTGGCCGAATAGTTGTCAAAACTGCAGAGCAAAGAGAGAAAAGCCAGGGCTGGGCTGGAGTCCCAGGCAACGGAGGCCAGCCAACCAACTGTGTCCTGGCGCCTGCAGAGTCGGAACCAGAGAGAGGAAGCTCAGAACCAGAGCCACATGGTCAGGACTCTGCGCCCACGGGAGACCCACACAAGTGTGCCAGCGCCCAGGTCCGGTGCCAGTGCCCTCCCAAATGCAAGCACTCACACGGTGGGGATGTATTCTCCAGGGAAGGCGTTGGTCGTGTAGCTGATCAGTAGGCACGTCTTCCCCACGGCGCTGAGGACAGAAACCAGCACGCGGGGCTCACAGCCCTGGGAAACCCTGCAGAGCCCGGGGCCAGTTCGGACGGGAGGGGTGGTGACAGGGGTACAAGCCCAACAGATTCGCAGCCACCTGAAGCTGCAAGAAGACCTGGGCAAGGCCGGCCTTCAGGTGCGCAATGGTGGGCGGGAGAGCAGCGGCTCTCCAACGGGATAGCCTCCCCAGCTCAGGTGGAGCGGAGCTCCCAGCGCCAGGTGGGCGCGGC